CATCGATGTTTCTCTCTCTCCCTTCCTCTCTCTAAAAAAATCAATAAAAACATATTTTAAAAAACATCTTATTTAAGTATGATTAAAATATAATAAACTATGGTTATTTAAATTGAATGGTTTTATCAGTTTTTAAATGTCTACAACTGTGAAATCATTACTGCAATCAAAATATTTCTAATACCCTCAAAAGATTTCTCACCCACCTTTGTAATCCATCCATCTTTCTTCTACCATCCTTTGACAACACTGCTCTTCTCACACAAGATTATCTTGACTTTTCTAGAATTTTATATGAATGAAATCATATAGTATATACTCTTATTTTTTTGCCTGGCTTCTTTTACTCAATATAATGTCAAATGTATTAATAATTTATTCCCTTTTTTTCTGAGAATATTTCCAGTGTACAGATAGGTCACAATTTTTTTTATTCATTTTCTATTGTTTGGGTTGCTTACAATTTTGGCCTCTTGCAACTAAACCTTTATGAATTTTCATGCACAAGTCTTTGTGTGGACATATTTTTTTCATTTCTGTTGAGTAAATACCTAGTAGTGGGATGACTGGGTCATGCAGTATATATGTGTTTAACTTTTAAGAAATGCCGAACTGTTTTCTAGAATGGTTTTACCATTTTACATACCATTTAATAGCGCATTACATTTTAATTCTTCCACATCTTGTCAATACTTAGTAAGCAGAAAAAAGGAAATAGTAAAGACCAAAGTAAAAATCAAGGAAATAGAAAAATAAAAGAGAAAAATGAAACTAACAGCTGACTCTGAGATCAAAAAGAGATAAGCCAGATTGATCAGAAAAAAGAGAAGACACAAATTTCTAATATCAGAAAAATAAGAGATAACAGCACAACAGAGCTTACAGATAATACTAAAATAATAATGGAATACTATGAAAAATGTATGGCAATAATTTAAAAATATTTATATGCAAGTAAAAATTCCTAGAACACAAACTACCAAATTTCATTCATGAATAAATAGATAATATGAAGAACCTCATCTCTATTAAAGAAATTAAATATATAGTAAAAAACATTTCCACAAAGAAAACTCAGGCTCACGTGACTTCACTTCTGAATTATACCAAATAGCTCAGAAGAAATTACACCAATTCTATACAAACTCTCCCAAAAAAAAAAACTGAATACGAGTAGATGTCTTATCCAAATCATATTTTGAAACCAGGATCACTGTGATACCAAAATCACTACAAGAAAAGAAAACCTTAGGCAATATTCCCCATGAGCAAATACAAAAATTATAAATAAGCTGAAAAATAATGTATAATAAAGATAATGAATAAATAAGGTTTATCCTAAGAATACAGGGTTGGTTTAACATTCAAAAATAAGTCAAAGTACTCATGGACAAGGACAACAGTGTGGAGACTACAAAGATTGGGGGGGGGGGGTAGATGGAGGTGGAAGAGGACATAGAGGGGATAAACGGTGATGGAAAAAAATAAATAATTTTTAAAAATAGGTCAAAGTAATTGACCACATTAAGTGAAAAAAGGAGAAAATTTAGATCATTATCTCAAAGATGCACAAAAAATAATACGATAAAATTCAATTCCCATTCATGACCAAACCTCTTAGTAAACTAGGAAGATGAGGGGGCGATGTCCTTTCTGTGAGAAAAGCTGTCTTCAAGGATCTAGAGCTAATATTCGAATTTCTATCTATCCCTTTCCCTTATGTTTTGGAACAAGATTAGGATGTATGTACACAATCACGATTTTGTTTAACACCACCTGGAGGTCCTCACCAGCAAGAAAAAGAAATGAAAGATAAACCCAAATAAAATCCCAACCGACTATGTAGAAATTGGAAAGCTGGTTCTAAAATTTCTATGGAAGTGCAAAAGCCCTTGAGAACTAAGTCAATCTTGAGAAATAACAAATGTTGGAGAACACAAACTGCCAAATTTCAAAATTTATTATAAACTTACAGTAATTAAGAGAATGGTGTTAAGATTAAGACAGACAAATAGATCAAGAAAACAGAAGAGAATGTCCAGAAATAGGTCCATCTATATATGGTCACTTTATCTTTCCAAAGATGCCAATAAAACTCAATAGTGTTGAAGCAATTAAAAGTGTACAAGATAAACTTGGATAATCCTGTCTTTCCAGATAGCAAAAAATCTATCAAAAATCATTAGGGTTATGTCACAAAGGACTCAAAGAGTTATACTTAAGGGGCTCCCATGGGCCAGAGCTGTAACAATTTCAGCATTAATAAACATAATAACAGCAACATATTGAAGCACATCAAATTTATTTAAATTCATGAATTCATAATGACACAAAAAATAATTGCTTAATATTGGAGGATCCTACTAAACCATTCATTATATTGAAAACTAATAAATGATAGTAAAATATTAAGCATCAGTCTGCTTTTCCTAAGCATCCTATACCATAGTGTAACCAAACATTAATTGAAGGGAAGTTTCTTTTTGCAGAAATATTCCAGCTTATCTACGATAAAGGAATGATAGAATTTAAAACATTCCAAGATCTGGGTTTTGAACATAAATGGCAGCTAATACCACAAAGAGAAAGACAATGAGATATTACATGCCTCCTGGTGAAAAGACACCCCATCATGTATTAATCAGTTTTGCTAAAAAAAAAAAATGAAACTAAAAGTGCATAGATCTAATCAATATTTATAGGAAATACAGAAGAAATAACATACATAATTACACCATATAGATGCAATTAGCAAAAGTTCAGTCTGAGGAGCTCAACAGGACAAGTAACTCAGCTTATTCAACAAATACAGTACAGCTTACAAAAAGAGGTGGCAGGGAGGTAGAGGGATATATAGGACAAACTATTGCAATGTGCATCAACACAGATTCAAACTAACATTAAAATATTTTATGATATTCACGATAATGGAAAGTTAGTGATTAAATATTTGATTACATTAAAGAATTATTAATTTTTGCAATGTAAAAATGATATTGTGGTTATGTATTAAAATATAATGTTTAGCCCTGGCCAGTTTGGCTCAGCAGTTAGAGCGGCGGCCTGCGGTTAGGAGAGACCCGGGTTCGGTTACCACTAAGGGCACGTACCTCGGTTGCAGTTTCTCCCCGGCCCTGGTTGGGTTGTGCAGGTGGCAGCCACTAGATGTGTCCCTTTCACGTCGATGTTTCTCTCTCTCTCTTTCTCCTCCTCCCTCTCCCTCCCACTCTATCCGAACAAAAAATGGAAAAATGTCCTCAGGTGAGGATAAAAAAATAAATAAATAAATAAAATATAATCTTTCAGTTACATCCTGACATACTGATGGATGTGCTTTAAAACAATATGGCAGCAGAGAGAGATTAAGTGTATAGACAAAACAAAACTTTTCATGAGTTACTGCTGAAGTTAAATAAAAGGCACATAAGGGTTCTGTTGTTGTTTTCTTATGTTTGAAATGTTTAATAAGAAAAGCTAAAAAAGTCATCGACAAAACTGTGGAAATATTTGCCACATAAATAAGACAAAAGAGTAATACATTTGCCATATCAAAGGTTACTAATATAAATTGAACTCATAATGAAATAGCCCTGGCAGGTTTTCTTTAGTGGTTAGCATGTTAGCCCATGGCCTGAAGCGTCTCAGGTTTGATTCCCAGTCATGGGCATACCTGTGTTTCAGGTTCAATCCCTTGCCCCAGTTGGGGTTGTATGGGAGGCAAACAATTGATATGTTTCTCTCACATTGTTGTTTCTCTTTCTCTCTCTTTCTCTCTCTCTCTCTCTCTCTCTCTCTCTCTCTCTCTCTCTCTCCCCCCCCCCTCCCCATCTCCCTCCTTTCTCTTCCTTCCTCCCTTCCACCCTATCTAAAAGTTAATGGAAAAATATCCTTGGGTGAGGACTTTTTAAAAAGTAACAAAATATACACACTATGAAGGAACACAATGTAAAATTTTATTATATTGAATCAAGAACTTCTTTCTATACATCAAAAGATAAAGAGAATATGTCCAGTCAGTGTGGCTCAGTGGATTGAGCGTCATCCCATAAACTGAGAGGTCCTGGTTTGATTACCGGGTCACTGCACATGCCCTGGGTTTCGGGCTTGATCCCCAATGGGGCGGGGTGGGGGGGGAAGGGGGGTGTGCAGGTGGCAGCCAATCAGTGTTTCTCTCTCATATGGATGTTTCTGTCTCTCTCTCTCTAAAAAATCAATAAAAACATATATTTTTAAAAAAAGAAAGATGAGAACAGAAACAAACCATAAATTGAAAGAAAGCTGCTATACCATATATATGTATATTTTGAGTGTCTGGTATTACTAAAAAAAAAAAAATCTTTCAAATCCATAACAAAAACAACCCAGTAGAAAAATGGACAAGATATTTGAAAAGATAATTTCTCAGAAGAGGAACATGACTCATAAATCCTATACCTAGGTATATAACCCCTAAAGAATCTCTTGTCCATGAGTACCAGCAGTTATATATGTACAAAAATGTTCAGCATAAAATTATTCAAATAACAGATAATTCTATCAACAATAAAAATCCAATGTGTAAATTGTGGTACATTCACATAATGGGATAAAATTTATAATGAAATGAAGTGTCAGGCAGCACATAGATAAAACTTCTGAAAAATAAAGCAGAGTATAAAAAGCAAGTGACGACAGCATATTAGTTACATAAAATATCTTAATAAAGGTATCTATACATATATGTCTACATATGTTTAAGGGTACATATCCATGTAGTAAGTATATTTTTAAATAATGGTTATGATAATCACCAGATTTGGATAATAGTTTTCTTTGTTCAGGAAGGAGGTCTGCTTAAGGAAAATTTGGCAAAAAATAAAAACAATTTAAAGAAATTCAGTGAAGGTTAAAGAGGGGGAGAATGTAAACAAAACAATCCACATCAAGATACATCATAAACTGCTGAAAACTACCCCCTTACAAAAACAAAAAATCCTAACCACTATAGAAAAATGTCACATTACTTACAGAAGATTAACAATTCAAACACTGTAGTTATTTCATTGGAACCATGAGGATCACAATAAAGTGAAACATTTTTTAAGATCTGGAAAAAGAAAAAATAGCACCTGTCAACTTGCAATTCTATATCAAATGAAAAGAGTATCTTTCAGGAATGAAGGTAAATAAAGACAGTCTTAGATGAAGAAAAACTAAGATAATCCAGTCCCAGAACATCTGTTCTAAAAGAGATGTTAAGAGAAGTTCTATAGATTGGTGAAAGAAAGAAACCTGGGATATCAGGAATTAAAGGACAACCAAAATGGTAACTATTAAAATCAAATGTATTACATTGTCTAAGTGGATGCGTGGTGTATGTAGACGTAATACATAACAACTATAACAAAGGGGAAAGAGATAAAGAGCCATATATAGTGGTAAAGTTTCTACATTCTACTTTAAAAGGTAAAATATTTATTCATAATTTATTGTAAAATGCTAAGCAAGTACACTGTTACCTAGAACAATACCTAAATAAATATATGTGTGTGTGTGTATATATATATGTATATGTATACACATATATATGTATATGTACACACACATATATATATTGTGTGTGTGTACACACACACACACAAAAATATAATAACAATAGCCATGGACCATTGGAAGCCAAATTTTAAAAATACCATGTATAATAGCATCACAAAATGATTTATAGGCGGCCCTCGTTTATCGCAGTTAATCAGTTCCAGACTCTACCATGATAAATGAACTCCCGCAAATTAGGATTCTTTATTTATATACAGTCGTCCCTGGACGCAAAAGTCCAAGGGCAAAGTGGCGAGGGACGACTGTATGTATAAATATAACACAACGTATACAAGATCTCTGTGCGGAAAACTACAAAATCTGTATGAAAGAAATCAAGGACAACCTAAACAAATAGAGATACCATATTTATGGACTGGAAGCTCCTGTATAATAAAGACTTCTTTTCTCCTCAAATTGATATGTAGATTGATTTAATGTACTTCATTCAAAATCCCAACATAATTTTTGTAGACAAGCTGATTATAAAATTTATATGGAAAAGGCAAATGAATTAAAATAGCCATAAATATTGTAAAGAAAAAAATGCATTTGGTGGAATTATACCTGATTTAAGACAATAAAAAGCTACAATAATCATACAGTGCAGTATCTGCAAGGAATAATCAATGGAACAAAAAATGAAAAGGCAAGTCACAGAGAGAAAATACTTACAAATTACATATTTGAAAAAGACTTGATTACAGAATATATAAATAACTCTCAAAACCCAACAGTAAGAAAACTAGCCAATTAAAACTGAACTAAAAGCTTCAAAAGATACTTTTCCAAGCAGGATTTACAAAAGGCAAACGGCATATTCAGCATCATTATCCATCAGGAAATGCAAATGAAAACCACAGTGAGATACCACTACATCTATTAGAATGGCTAAAATGAAAGTTGCAGATAATACCAATGGTTACAAGGATGCATAGCAAACGAATCTCTCTTGCACTACTGATAGAAATGCAAAATATTATAGCACTCTGGAAAACTGGGACAGTTATTTATAAACTTTAACATACACTTACTATATGATCTGATAATCCCTTGTTCACACAAAATGCTGAATACAAATACTAATAACCTTTCTATTCATAATCACCAAAACCTGGAAATAACCCAGATTTTCTTCAACTGGTGAATATATAAACTCTGTATACATACAATGGAATACTACTCATTAATAAAAAGGAGTAAACTACTCACACAAGCAATAACTTAAATAAATTTCAAAAGCATTATGATGAGTGAAAGAAGCCATTATCAAAAGGTTCAATACCTTGTGATTCTGTTGTTTTGTTTGTTTGTTTGTTATCCTCACCCAAGGACATTTTTGCATTTATCTTCAGATAGAGCGGATGGGAGGGAGGGAGGGAGGAAGAGAGAGAGAAACATTGACGTGAGAGAGACACATCAAGTGGTCACCACACACATGACCTCAACCGGGGCCAGGGACAAACTGCAACTGAAGCACATGCCCTTAGCAGAAACCTAACCCGGGACTCTCTGGTCTGCAGGCCAACGCTCTAACCGCTGAGCCAAACCGGCCAGGGCCCTTATGATTCTGTTTATAAGACATTCTCTAAAGGAAAAAAAAAACAACACCATACTGATGGAGAACATATCAGTGGTTAAATGGGGTTATTAGGGAAGGAGATGTAACTACAAAAGGAAATGTTTAGAATGTTGGAACTGTTCTTATGTGATTGTGACAAATGTCACACAAATCCATGCACATGTTAAAATTCATGAAATTGTACCAAAAAAAAATTCCATTTTGCTTTAGGGTAATTTAACAGCAAATAAATACCACAGGATCTTTTTTGAGAATGAAAAAATGCACAGACAAGACCAGAAGCAGGGGCTCGAGGGAATTCAGGGCTCTGACTCTACTTGAGAGTTGCCAGCTACAAACTGCGGAGCCCACTGCCCATAAGGGCATAAAGGTGGTGACACTGTACAGAGTCTATACTGAGGGTTCAATGATAAAATTGAAACTAGAAGGTTTGATTATGGTGAATGTGAAAGAGAGGCACTTCCAATAATATATAACTTGTGATATCACTACTGTACATTTCTAAAATTCACAAAAAAGAATGACTCACATGCCATTCTTCTTAGAGTGGAGAGTAGATAGATAACCCCCACCCCCCTTCCCAATATGTATCAATATAGTTTTAGAATTCATCTTTTAATAGAATATGTCTCCCAACTATGCTTAAATTTACAGGTGTGATCCCGGACAGTTGTCAGATAGACTGGTAACCCGGTGAGACTGAAAACAATATTTTCCATCTAGCATCCCTTTTTTGAATTCTACTGAGATTTTTTTCTATCAGTAAGACCAGTCTGGGCTGCATTAAACCCTAGAGTTTTAGAAGACCATCCTGTGTGAGACAACTGCTTTAGATACTCAGAATTTAGATTGATTGTCCACATTTTGGTAGATATGTGGCTGGTGTTGTCATAACTGTTCGGTGTTTTATACAAAAATCTTGAATTTAAAAATAGGATCCTTAAGCTTAGAGATAAATTACCTCAACCTCAGTGGTTCTGAGAATGAAATACAGCTTCAGCTAAGGCAACCCTGTTTATTCCCAGATTTCTGAATCTTGTTGAGACTGACTAATCAAATTATAGACTCAGGGAGAAAAGATTTTGGACTTTATTCTTGAAAGAATTAGTAATGTTTTAAAGGGTAAAGGTAAAAGCTTGCAAAAGGTGGAAACTGTGAAAAATTGTGTTGTTTGCATGACCTTTGCTCAGCCTTCTGTTGAGTACAGATAAGGATTATCTGGATTATCTGCAAGGCAATGAATCACCCAGCAGATGCAGGACAAGATACTAGACCAGTCCAAGAAAAAGTGGACAATGGGCCAGGTAGAGTGTGTCAGCAGGAACTGCCAGAAGCTAAAAGTCGAGTATATAACCTACATGCCAACTGTTATTTGAGGCTCAACCCTTTTCAGCTCAGTCCGCCTGCACCCAAGCACATGCAATAAAGCTGGTTTGCTCTACATTGGCCTTGTGTTGTGGATGTGATCTCCCATAGGCTCAGACCTCTTAATTCTTTAGGTTTTAACTGATAAAAACAAAGAGATTTAACTTTTATACTTCAATTTTTTTCCCCTGGAAATTTAATAGTGGGAGAAGATTAATACTGTTCGATTTTGATCAGTCTTTTACTTCTGATAGTGTAATATTTGAAAGATTTTTATGCTGTCATTTTGGCTCCAGTGAGCTCTAATAGACAACATGAATCAACACAGTATGAGATGAATAATAAAGTGATATTTCAATAGGGTTCATGGTGGCTGTGTTATAGGATAGTAAGAAGTGAGGATAATTTTAGGGCAGGAGGAATAGGGAAACCGAGACAGGAAAATTAAACAAAGCTAAAAAGCTTTGCAGGCACATGTAGCAGGGTCTTATCTTGAGAACGAAGGGTTAAAACCTCTCTTTCTCACAAAAGAATGTAGAAGAGGAGGGGGAGGGAGGGGAGAGAAGAAGAGGAATCCTAATTCAACTTCTCACTAACCAAAGACTGAGAGCAAATCACCCTGAACCTATTAAAACAGCGAGGAGTGGGGAGAAGGAGTGGGGGGAGGAGTGGGGGGGAGGAGTGGGGAGGAGTGGGGGGGAGGAGTGGGGAGGGGGAGTGGGGAGGAGGAGTGGGGGGGAGTGGGGAGGAGGAGTGGGGGGGAGGAGTGGGGAGGAGTGGGGGGGAGGAGTGGGGAGGGGGAGTGGGGAGGGGGAGTGTGGGGGAGAGGTGTGGGGAGGGGGAGTGGGGGGAGTGGGGAGGAGGAGTGGGGAGGAGGAGTGCGGCCTCATCTCATCCACTGTTTAAATAGAGAAGTCAACATGATCTCACTTATTTGTGGAATATAATGAACAAGGTGGGCTGATGGACGAAATAGACCCAGAGACATAAAGAAATATGGTTCAGACTGACAAACCTCAGAGTAGGGGGTGGGGCGGGGGATGAGATGAACCAAAGAACTTATAGGCATGTATGCATAACCAATGGACACAGACACAATGCTGGGGGGAGGCAGGATGGGGAGGAGGGGGTCTAGGGGGGGAAAAGGAGAAACATCTGTAACAAAAATAAATTAATATCTTAATTTCTTAATAAGGAAAGAAAGAAAGAACAGAAAATGGAGAAAGATGAGAGAACAGAAGAGAGGAAAAGAGGAGAGAGAAAGAGAAGAAAATGGAGGAAAGATGAGGCAAGAGGAGAGAGAGAGGAGGAGAGAGAGAGAGGAGAGAAGAAGAAGAAGAAAGAAAGAAAGAAAGAAAGAAAGAAAGAAAGAAAGAAAGAAAGAAAGAAAGAAAGAGAAAGAAGGGAGGGAGGGAGGGAGGGAGGGAGGGAGGGAGGGAGGGAGGGAGGGAGGGAAGTTAACAATCTTGGAATTTAATTGCCAGCTTCTTCTCATAAATTGTGGAAAAGCCATAACAAAGAAGAGACCTTCACAGTTAACCTGTACCCAGATATCTACCAGATGAATTTTTAAAAAACTTATAGACAGGAGGGTATAGAAGGCAGAAACCCCCACCCGCCTCACTCTTCAAATTAGCTGAAGGCCATCTGCACTTCCAACCCAGATGTATAGATTTGCTTGCCTTGCTTCTTTAATAAATGTGCAAGCTTTAATTTTCTTAATAAATTCACTTTCTTTAATTTTTTTAAATAAATTCACTTTAACACAATGCAAATATTATCTGGAGTCATTCGTTTGAATTTATTCCTACAAACATGACAAGAATTGAGGTTGGAACAGCCCTCTCCCTATGACTCAGGAGACACCTCTCTTGTGTCTGTGAGAGGTACCTGTCACAGTTTTGCAGTTAATGTACTTAAGTTATGACTCACTTCAGAGTTTTCTAAAATCATTTTGAACATTAAAAAAAATTATTTTGCAATTTGTTGTTTCACGTACTGTTCATTTAATAGCAATAGACTCTTTATTTAATTTTTCTAAAATGATACCATGTTAAGTTCAAAATACTAAATCAGTAACTTTAGATCAAATTCTGAAAGCAATAGAGGTTGCATCATAGTTGTTAAGGTTCACTCTAAACCAGTCATTCGACAACAGAGAACAGAGGATTTATCTGCACTTAAGCAAAAGAGGCCATCTAAACAGTCTTTTCCCAAATTACTATTTAGTATTTCTTATCACACTATTCAATTACTATAAACTCTTTTATTTGCTTTCTGGTCACTAACAGGGCAAGTTATCTTTATATCATCAGAAATTTTCTTTTTCTTCTTTAGAGAATAAGCTTAAAGAAATAAAATATTTTTTAATAATATAATTATTTTTAATAATAGTGATGACAAAATTACCCAAGACAGACTATTTTTTCATGCCCCAGAGGAATTAAGCCATATGCTCATTTACATGGGGGACTGTGGGGAAGTACTAGAGAAGACGGAGAGATGTTAAATAGAAAGAAAGACAATAACTCTTGAAGTACAATCCCTTCAAGTTCAATGAAGGAGAGAATTTTCTTCTGGCAGAGAGGAAAAGCTACACCCAGCTCAACTGTAAAACGTCATCGTCTCCTTGTGGGGATGCATACCAGCACAGCTGCTGGCTGGAGACCCACCAGCCCAGAGTGACTACTGCAGTTCTTTGATGTGCCCCACAGCCTGGCATAAGCAACCATATCCATATCCCTTCTTCATGATCCAGATGATTATAGTTCCTGTTCCTACCCATTTGGGAGGGCAAAGGATCCTCACAACCTGTGAGTTCAGTGGATTTTATTAGCAATATAAAATGTGAGAGCAATCTGCCTCTCCACTGGAGCAGATTCACTGGATGGTCCCTCCCTCTCCCATTCTCTCTGTGTCCCTCTCGAAGCTGTTTACAGGAGTATAATTCCATTTCACTTGTGAAACAAATATTCTTATTCTCTGTCACCTTGATAGTGTAAATTAATTTATATTCTACTTCAAAAGAGGGGATTTGAGGTAACAAATGTTTAAAATATCTACTTGAAACTTTTTTTCCTATTAAATGAGAAAGTTAATGTTGAAGACTAAGGAATGTATATAGTTACTGAAGTGATTTCTTTTCTGAAGCATGACATTGCTGTCATTATTTCAATGAGCTGGATAGATTAAATTAGTTCATTCAGGAAATATATATTTAGCCTATACTTACAAGCATACATACAGTACTAGGTGATCTGTGAAACACAAAGGTTATAATATCATGGGTGATTAAGACAATTGGATGTAATAAGTGCATCAAGAATGACACAAAGTACCATAGGGATTCAAAGGGGGGAGATGTTCCAATTAGGGTTATAAAGAAAGACTTTATGGAGTTTCATTTACAGTGGATCTTAAAAACTGTAGGATTTGGATAGATGGTTAGTGAGCATGTCAGTCCAGGCTGAGAAAATTGGAAAAGTGAGGCACAGAAGTATGAAATGTAATTTGTATTTTAGGAATGTCAGTAGTCTCATTTGATTGGACAATGAAATAAACTGAGTGTTTATTATGGTCTAGAATTTTTAAACTCTTTATAGGAATTATTTAGGAGTATTATCTTTATTTTCCAATGATGAAACTGTGGCTTAGAGAGATTAAGTTATGTGTCCAAGTTATTTACATGGTTAGAAAATGAAAAAGCAGGGCTTGGAGTTCAGTAATTTGGCTCAAGAGTCTATATGTGAAACACTTAAATTACAACTGCCTTCTTCAAGGAGATATGTGAAATAAAGTTTAAAAAGTTAGATTTGGTTGGGACTCTGGATGGTGATGAATGGTTGGTTGCCTAAGAAGTCTGAGCTTCATTTGAGAGGGAATGGGGATCTTCAAGTTTGGGGGCCAGGAGAAGAAACAATCAGAAGAGAGTTTAAAGTATAATTAGGTAGCAGTATAAAAAATGAATTTGAATTAGGTTAAATTAAGAGCCAGTGGAGATTATTTAGTAATTTACTGGAAAGACATACGTAGGCTCTCACCTAGAAAGAGGATTAATGGGACAGAGATAGGATTGATGGGATGCTATGATGATAACGGCATGGAAGGTGATCATGTTTTTTCTTATACTACATAGTCACAGATAATTAAAACAAGTCGACATTTCTGCCTTCTGGCCATGAAGTTAAATTAATATTATTGATTAAATTGATTTGATAAAGTTCCCTACAGTTTTATAATGTTATAAGTAAAATGAAGGTGGTAGAGATCAGGCATAGCAAAGTTATGACCTGATGTTGCTCTAAACTTTCTTAATTTCCCTTCATCCTTCCTTACTACCCTTCCTTCTCTAAATCCTCCCTTCCTTCTTCCCTTTGTTTTTCTCTGGTACTGTCTACTATTCTTTCTGAATGGCAACAGAGCAGAAAACTATGTTGGTATGTAATACCATTATCTTACACATGACTTTTTCAAGTTTCAGTAGCAAAAATTACATTATTTTAAGTATAGGGAAATTGGTTAGAACTGCAGTATACAGTGATACCTCGGTTCTCGAACATAATTCGTTCCAGGAGGACGGTCAAGAACCAAATTGTTCGAGAACCGAAGCAATGAAACCCAATAGGAAATAATGGAAACTGGATTAATTCGTTCCAAGCCCCAGAAAATGCCTATTTACTGGCCTAATTCGTATATAATATGTAGAAAAACATAAGTCTCAACAAGAAATAAAAGTGCACAGTATGTATTAAAAAAAATAAAATAAAATGTACTGTAAAGTACAGTAAATTGTGTTTCATTTACTGTACCTGTACCAACCTTTATTGTCTTGAAGGGGAGTCCTCTTCAATAAAAACAGAGGGTAACTGCTCTTCGGGTGTTTCTGTTCTCTGTATCTTTTGCTGAGGAGAATCAGAATCTTTCTCTGCAGTTACTTGTCTGATTTCTTTACGGAAGAATTTTTCAATTGTTTGCTGTTTTTTTCTCCTTTCAGAAATTTTGCGGAAAGTGGACATAACATTGTCATTAAAAATGTTAACTGCTCTATTTGCTACCACTTTATCAGGGTGATGTTGTTCTACAAAGTTTGCGATTTCTGCCCATTTTGCACACATTTCATGAATAAGGCCACTAGAAATATCCTCCACTCTCTCCTCTTCTTCAGAAGAAATTTCTTCCACCATATCCTTCTGCTGCTGTTGTTGTAGGTGCATCAGTTCCTCGGCGGTTAACTCAGCAGCGTGACCTTCCACAAGTTCGTTGATGTCATCTTGTTGGATGTCAAGGCCCATGGTCTTTCCTATGGCCACAATATCATCAACTACAGCAACATCTTCATCAACGACAGGAGCTGACTCAGCTTCTAAACCCTCACTGTCCCTTTCGGGCCATAGTTTTCGCCATGCCGCATACAATGTGCGATGAGTGACATTACTCCAAGCAGTGTCAATCAAGTTTACACAATTTAGGATGTTGAAGTGTTCTTTCCAAAATTCCCTCAGAGTTAACTGTGTGTCATTTGTCACTTCAAAGCACTTCCGGAAGAGGGCCTTTGTGTACAATTTCTTGAAATTGGATATGACCTGTTGGTCCATGGGTTGCAGAATAGGGGTTGTATTGGGGGGTAAGAATTTTACTTTGATGAAGCTATAGTCATCAACTAGATCTTCCTCTAAAGCTGGGGGGTGAGCAGGAGCATTGTCCATCACTAATAGACATTTTAAAGGCAATTTTTTTTCTGCCAGGTATTCCTTCACTCGAGGTGCAAAAACTTCATGCACCCACTCTGTAAAGAATTGTCTGGTAACCCAAACTTTGGTGTTAGACCGCCACATCACAGCCAATTTACCCTTCATTACATTGTGCCTTTTGAATGGCCTGGGATTGTCTGAATGGTAGACAAGCAAGGGTTTTACCTTGCAATCACCACTTGCATTTGCACAAAACAAAAGAGTAAGCCTATCTTTCATAGGCTTGTGCCCTGGTAGCGCTTTCTCCTCTTTGGTTATGTAGGTGTTGGCTGGCATTTTTTTCCAGAATAATCCGGTCTCATCGCAGTTGAACACCTGCTCAGGAACAAACCCTTCTGCCTTGACATAGTCACTAAATTCTTTAATGAAGTTATTAGCAGCCTCCTGGTTTGCACTAGCTGCTTCCCCATGCCTAGTGACGCAATGCATGCCACTTCTATGTCTGAAATTCTCAAACCAACCTCTGCTGGCTTTAAACGTGAAAGCACCTTCACCACTTGTACCAGGTGTTTCTTTGTTCAGATCACTGAATATTTGTAGTGCTTTCTCACAAATAACGACCTCATTGATGCTGTCACCTGCTAACTCTTTTTCTTTAATGAAAATAAGGAGCAGCTTCTCCATTTCCTCCATTATCTGAGGCCTTTGCTTAGTTATCAGCGTTACACCTTTGGCAACATTGGCAGCCTTTATAACAGCTTTATTCTTAAGGAAAGTAGAGATGGTTGATTTTGGCACGCCATACTCAGCAGACAGATCTGAAACACGTGTGCCCTGTTCATATTTGGCAATGATTTCTTTCTTCAGCTCAATAGTTGTTCTCACAGCTTTCCGCTTACCTTTGTCTGCATTACCACTTCTGGCTTTCTTTGGACCCATGTCTAAGGGTTAAATTCAGTGAAAGCGTGACTCTCTCCACAAAGCGTGACTCTCTCTCTGCACTCACACTGATGCCGCAAGCAAGGCGCGCTGGGCCGAATGAACGCCATTCGGCTCAACTCGGCTCATCTCGGAAGTTCGAGTTCCAAATATTTGTTCGGATTCCAAGACAAAAGTTTCTCGAATCTCCTGGTCGAATACCGATTTGGTCGAAAGTCAAGGCGTTCGAGAACCGAGGTATCACTGGCAAGTGTGTCCACTGAACCTCTTGGTTTGTTTTAATTTTTATATATATGTCTACTTTTTACCTTGAACTATAATAGGGAAATGCCTACAACTGTGCCAAGTACAAAGCAAGTAGAGCAAGTATAAGCAAAGTTTTACAAAAGAATTTTTATATAAATACACAGAAAAGTACTTTCTACAGAACAACAGCTTTTAACGTTCTTACATTCACGTGTTCCATCTTGTCCTCTGTAATCAGATATATGTTTTCCCATTATCTTCTTTTTTAAAGCCATTTTCTTGAATTTTTTTTAAATGATAAGTCATTTTTTTCTCTAAAAGGGCTTGTTTCTAAAACATTAAAGAAAATATATTGGTTAACATCAACTTGCTATTTAGAAATGCAAAACAAATACTTATGACAGTATATTGGAAATGAACAGTCATTCCTGTCTTGTGACTTGTAAGGTCACTCTGAGTACAAATTTGGGAAGGTAGTGAAGGGTAAATTCCACTTGTGGTCAAACATGACGAATATACATATTTATCACGTAAATGCAACTTACGTCACTGCACATATTCAGGGAACTGGTCCAGTTTCAGATCTGATAGGGTCTGTGTGTGGTGTCAGCCTCGTTATCATAAAAAGTTCAGGGAGAGAGTGTGTGTATTTGTGTGTGTGTGTATTTTGTTTTATTTTTTTACCATCACCATTTATCCCCTCTATGCCCTCTTCCACCTCCACCCATCCCCCTCCCCCCTGCAGTTACCACACTGTTGTCCATGTTCATGAGTTCTCTCTTTTTTTCTTTTCTGTTCAATCCCCTCACACCCCCACTCCCTGATCCCCTACCAGAGCTGTCTGCCTGCTCTCTATCTTTGAGTCTGTCTCTATTTTCCTTGGTAGTTCAGTTTCTTCATTAAATTACACATTAAGAGTCGAATCATATGGTACTTGTCTTTCTCTGACTGGCTTATTTCACTTAGCATAATGCTCTCCAGGTCCATCCATGCTGTCACAAAGGGTAAAATCTTTCTCCTTTTTAAGGCATAGTATTCCATTGTGTAAATGTACCATAGCTATTTTATCAGTCCAAGTTTCCATCAGTAGATGAGTGGATAAAAAAGCTGAGGGAATTTCTAAATCAACTGCAATTGGAGGATTTATGAGTGACTTAACCACAGTCATTCAGGCCTACCACAGTTAAACATAATATAATACATGAAATGTGACTTCCCTCTGTGAATCTCTGGACTAATATTGATCCTGCATGTACCAGAAGGGATATAATTGCACAGAGCAAGAACCTCAGAACTTCTCAGATGGTTCCCTACATAGTCAGTATATGCATGTGAAAAAACTACCCAAGGCCACAGAAAGGGCCATCCTAAAGGCTGTCTCCCACACCACCCCAACTGGCCAGGGATCAAACCTGCAACCCAGGTACATGCCCTTGACAGAGAATCAAACCCATGACCCTTCAGTTTGAGGGTCGATGCTCTAACAGCTGAGCCAAACTAACCAGGGCTAAAACTACTTCTATTTACAGACAATATGATCATTTATATAGAAAATCAGTTGGCATCTGGAGAGAGATTTTAAAACGTATTAAATTTTAAATTTGGAGAGAAGAAATAAAACTGCTTTTATAAGTTTTAAAACGTATCTTCCTCACACTAAGGACTATAAGGGGAGTTAAATGGTGTCTAGTAACTTTCACAATCATCTCTTTAAGAGCATATATTGGCTCAGCTATATAGCGTGTGGTGTCAGCCTTGTTATTTCATGTAACAACTCGTATACTATAGCTGTGAAGAGAGATTAGTGTAGATAAATTATTTAGACCTGAAATGACTTCAAGAAGTATAATAGACAGCTAAAATTATTTACAAATAAAACACTGCACACAATTTTTCTCTTAATAATTTAAATGTACTTCTCACCTCTTTGTTTTTTCTATGAAGACTAAGTTTTCTTGTTTGTCCCACTGTCGTCTTTCTTCTCTGCCCATGCAGAGTAGCTGCTGCTCTTCTGCTGTGCGTTCACATTGTTCCTGATCCAAATGTCTAAATAAAAGTGCCAATACAAGTGAAGGTGAATTGGATGTTTTCCTTTCGGTGGCATCAGCTGTTTAGATATGCCCAAACCACCTCCTCATTCACTTTTTATTTCTTGAACTACTGGAATTTTAGTTTTTCTATCAGTTCTGTTCATGGACTTGTAAGCCAGCTCTCACCATATTTTGTTACACAGATCTCCCTACCATTTGAGTATCTGTTCTTATGGCCAAGACAATGGTAAATAGTGGAGCAGACTCATTAAAAACATTTTGCACAGTAATTATTCATAACTCAGTGGGATTAGGGATATGAGTTTGCAAAGAAGGCTAAAATAACTGAAAACTGATTTCAAATCTGGAAAAAACAACAGATTTGAATTTCCTAAGAAGATGTATCCTGGGTTCCCTGCGACTTACAAAGCCTTGAACAAATCTTCCATCTATAGTCTGGGTCTCTGGTATGTCAACAGCTTATGGCGCTACCACAAAATGAACCCATGGAATATAAAAGTCAGGCTGTGCAGGCCCATCCCTCACCTTAATGAAGGAGAAAAGAGGAGAAGGGGAAAAAATGTAAATATCCCTTCACTTCCTAAGATATGGGCTTGACCACAGAATGATAATGATTGAACATGAGTAGGTAGTATCTGAAGAGCTTACATATTTTCTTTTAGGGACAATGCATATTTATATTGGCATTAGAAATACTTTAATCAAATCTCCATTTTTGACTTTGCACTAACTTCCTCAAATTTAATGCTGTCGGCCCTTAAAGATGAATCATATAAAGCTACCAGTAGGGGCATGTGGTAAAGGATTCTTTTCCTCCATTTCCAACTACAGGAAGGATTTGGGATCTGATTTGTTCTTTAGTTGTCAGTTTGGATTAACTCTTAATCTCCCAGAAACCCTGTAATCTCCAGTGGATACTGCTCTTCCTTCCCTTGGCATCAAAGTTCCCAATTTCTGTACCTCTTGATCTTCCTTCCTCTCTATACTGAGGGCAATAGTGGAGTTAAATAGTGGCTGGTTCACCCTAGCCAGTTTGGCTCAGCAATTAGAGCATCGGCCTGCAGACCAGAGAGTCCCAGGTTCAGTTCCCTCAAAGGGCACATGCCTTGCTTGCAGTTTGTCCCTGGCCCAGATTGGGATCATGTGGGTGGTAACCATTCCATGTGTCTCTCTCGCATCGATGTCTCTCTCTCTCTCTCTCTCTCTCTCTCTCTCTCTCTCTCTCTCTCTCTCCCCCCCCCCCCCTCCGTCCCTCCGTCCCTCCCCCTCTCCCTTTCCCTCCTGCTCTATCTGAAGATAAATGCAAAAATGTCCTTGGGTGAGGATAAAAAAAAAAAAATAGTAGCTAGTTCATTTAAAAAATGCCTAAGTCCAATTCCTTCTTATATTTTTCCAACTTATTTGAGTCCACAATGTATACATAAAGTATGCATTAACTTCAATCTTACCTGGGCCTTATTAATCACTCCTGGTTTTTAAAAGAGTGGGTATTGGCAGTGAGGGAGGGGACCATGGGAAGGAAAGGCTGAGACACGGGGGAAAAAAATAAAATAAATAAATAAAAGAGTGGGTGTTCTGCCCTGGCCAGTTTGGCTCAGTGGTTAGAGCGTAGGCCCGCGGACCAAAGAGCCCAAGTCCAATTCCAGCCAAGGGCACGTACCTCAGTTGCAGTTCGTTTCCAGCCCCGGTTGGCATCGTGTGGGAGGCAACCAATTGATGTGTCTCTCTCATATCGATGTTTCTCGTTCTCTCTCTTTTCCTCCCTCTCTCCCTCCTGCTCTATCTGAAGATAAACAGAAAAA